GACATAAATTCACAATATCTTCTTTCTCTGGTTACAGGGATTGAGTCTGTCGAGATCATTGATGATTAATAATTCAATTTTTTTTTATCATTATATTTTTTTAAGGAAATAAGTTATATTATAAGTATATAAAATTATTTACTGTATTAAAAATAAATTTTTATTAAAAAAACATTTAAGCTCATTTTAGAAAAAAAAACGGTATAATTCTTTTTAAAATTTATTATAATATTTAATAATAGTTATAAGGCACAGATTATAATCCAACCAATCGGACCGTTATTCATATTTAAATTTGATCTGACGCAAATTTTTATTATGACAAAGCCTTTCTACACAACGGAATGCTGGCATTAGTAAGTGTATCTTATTTAAAAGAACAGTATAACCACTTATTCTAGTTCGTAGTTTTCTGACTTATACGAAAGTCTAATAAAAAATTCTAAATTTGGACACAATAACCAATGGTTTAACTATATCAAGATAATTCGTGAACCAGGGATCAAAATTTGTATTATTTGCGATATGAATCAAATCATCCAAGTTTGATCACTTAATCACAAGTTATCATCAACGTCCATTATTAATTCGTGTAACAAGTACGAATTTAGTTGTCAAAAAGGTGTACAGTATATAACGATAACACACAACAAAGAAACTAAATCATAATTGTGTCATTCCAAAGGCTAAAAAGATAAAAGATAACAATTCGGCTGATAATACGTTAGATCTCCAGTGTTTCATCGAAGTGGAATATAATTTCCTAATTGTTAATTTTCATTTACAGTATTCTAAAAAAAACTATAAAAAAACTCGACTTTGCAAACTTTTTTATTATCTTAAAAGAAATTATGACTCAATTAAATAATATTGCTAACTCTCAATATGCGAAAGAGGCATCGAACTATATTAAAATTTTAAATGAATTGCGTCGCGTTGGCGCTCATTTTGCTGTCAATCTTCCCACAATCGTTTTTTGTGGAAATCAATCTGCAGGCAAAAGTAGCTTGCTTGAGGCGATTTCAGGTGTTAAGGTATACAAGATTCTTACGTATTATTTGTTACCTGCATATTACCATTTCAAATCAAAATGAATAAAAATAATATATAATTTTAGTTACCTAAATCTGATGGAACCTGTACTCGTTGCGTGATGGAACTCCGACTAATCGAATCTCCTGAAGCATGGTCGTGTCAAGTTTCTCTCCGTAAAGAATATGATAAAGATGAAAAACGCCTTCCTAGTCCAATTGAAACTAAATTTGGTAGCCCGATCAACGATCCAGATAAAGTGGAACTAATGGCACGTCGTGCTCAAAAAGCGTTATTAAACCCTACAACAGAAAGCAATGAATATATTAATTGGGATTTCAACGATGATGATGATTCTCAATTAAACGGTCTTAAGTTCACGAAAAATATTGTCTGCATTGAAATTAAAGGCTCTGATGTGCCTAACTTAAGTTTAATTGATCTGCCTGGAATTATTCGTAAGTTTATATACTCTGTTCACGTGATCTAGAAATTTTGTTATCTAAACCTCTCTACGCTAGTTTTAAAGTCTGGCCGGTATATTTGCTTTTGTATGCTTTATAAAAATTATCGGTCATGTTTTAAAAATATTTCAGTTAAAATTTTTCTTGAAATTTAGACCATCACGTGACTGGGGTATGTTTTCTCTAACGATAATATTTTTTACATTGTATTTTCTTTTAATATTGTACTACTTAGGACATACTGAGAAAGTTGAAGATAGAAAATTTATCCCATTGATCGAAGAACTTGCAAAGGAATATATTAAAAATGAAAAATCTATTATAATTGCAACGATCTCATGCAAGGACGAAATAGACAACCAAGCAATCATTACTCTTGCAAAAGAAGCAGATCCTTCAGGAGTTCGAACTTTGGGTGTTCTTACAAAACCTGACATGATTGAAAAGGGAACACATGATATCTGGTTAAAGATTATGGGAGGTGAAGCTCATCAACTTGAACTCGGGTATTATGTTGTAAAGAATCCAACCAAAGTACAGCGTGCGGAAAATATTACATTCGAAGAAGCTAGATTAGTTGAGAATGAGGTTCGTTTTTAATCCTGTATTTAAATAAATATTTATTATATTACAGTATATAGTTATAAAATTTAATATCACTGATTATAATGGCCAATATTTCTGTTTAAAATAGTTTTTCGAACAAGAAGAGCCATGGAATAGTTTTTATCTTCGAGAAAGGATAGGGGTTAAAAACTTGCAAAATAAATTATCTGAATTATTAATCAAATCTATTAAAAGAGGTCTTCCAGGCATTCGAAAAGATGTTGAAGAAAAGTTAGACGAGGTATTTTTGTAATTATAATAAGTCTATATATATATTTACCGTATTTGCGCAAAAATAATGCCCATGTGTATTATTTCGGGACACAAGTTGAGGCGAGCTAATAATTAATTTGGCCGAATGCAAATCATAATTTTTTGTTATTAAAAATCTTCAGTTAAATTATTCATTAACTTGCCTCAAACTCGTGTCCTGAAATAATACCCATGGATACTATTACACACAAGTGCAGTATATCTTACTTATTTCATTATTCATTATTTATTATGTATTAGACATGCCAAGATTTAGGAAAACTTCCAATTCAACTCTCAGATAACCCAAGAATTGAATTATTTCGCATGATACAAAATTGCTCAAAGATTATCAAGGAAAAAACTACTTGTTTAAATGATCAAACTGAATTATGGAAATCTCTCAATAATCAATTTGTACAATTCAAAGAAGAATTTTATGCTTTACATCCAATTTTCTTAATTGGTTGCAATGTCAACGGTTATAAGCAAAAAACTTCGGACGCGAAGTTTGATATGCTTGAAGATTTTATCGAAGACCGTAAAAGTAATACAAGTACAGGTAAATTGCAACAAATAACGGAAGCCCAAGTCACTGAAATAATTAGGAATGCTCGTGGAAGATTACTTCCTGGTTCAATTCCTTATTCAGCTGCACAGACTATGATTCAAGAAATTCAGGTAAAATGGAAAAAACCTGCTATAAATTGTTTAAATGCTGTTTATGAGATTATGATAAAATCAGTGAATGAGGTTGTGGAAAATATCTTTTCAAGATTTCCTGGTTTGGTTGGACGCATGGAGTAAGAATTATTATTAATTTAATTTTTGAGAAATTACATTTATTATAAAGCTAATCTTTTTAAATCTATTTAAATCTATTTTTTTAAAAAAAGATATAAGGCACGAACTTGGCTAGAAGAATGTAAAAAACAGTCAACTGATCATATCAATTTTATGTGTAAAATGGAGCGAACAACTTATCCATTTACACTTGATAAGCAAATGATGACAGACTTAAAAACGAAATATTTAAACTCTCTTCATGAAGCAGTAAAGAATGATAATCGAGATCCAACCGACACTTTAGAAGTCGTGGCATTAGTTATGGCATACTTAAAAATTGCAATTAAACGTTACACTGACGTTGTTTCTATAACAATAATTCACACTTTTATTGATGAGTTTAGTGAACGCTTTGAAGAAAAATTAATGGAAATCTTTATTAATGACAAAGATGGGTCAATTGATGAGTTAATCAAGGAAGATGATAATACCAAGTATCAAAGAGAGAAATTGTTAAATCGTGAAAAGCTTTTAAGAGAGGTGTTGGATAAGCTTGTTAATTTCGGTGTCTATTATAAGTAAAATTCTTGTAGTCAATTCGGTAGAAAGAAATCATGTCCCGAGTATAGCGTATTTATTATTTACTATATTCGAGACCCCTGTGCATATTAATTTTTATAAATTTTGACCCGTTATCTTAACTATTTCTTTAAAAGCATTAAAGCTATAATAATAAACTCTTGCAGCATCCATTGTTTTTTCATATTATGTGAACAAGATATACAGTATTTATCGCTTATAAATATCCATTCATTATTAGAACTACATATCAAGACAGTTGCTTATCTAACATAGTTTGCTCAATTTATTTATTTTGCGCGGAATTTAGTATAAAGGCTTTTCTTATCAGCCAACAAACTTCACTTGAAATGTAAAAAAGTTTTGAATATAAGTTAGATTTTCAATAATATGTGTGTCTTAATTGCGTTAAAGTCTAGATTAGGGTTCTTACCCGGGTCGTACGGGTTACCCGACCCGACGGGTCACGGGTCAAATTTTGGTCTACCCGGGTCAAACGGGTCAGAACCCAATCTATATCAGAACTTTATGGAATTATGCCAGCCATCTTTCGATACACTTATCCACCAATTACAATCTACTTATGTGATTTTATCCTTTTTTTACGGGTAAATAATGTGTATATTATGCTTTCGCATAATCCCGAACACCCTAATCAGAATCTTGGCGGGCCAAAAATTGTTTCGACCCGGGTCAGTTACTTAGTTTTCCCGGGGTTTCCGATGTGGTAAATGAAAGAACTTAAATCACGAGCAAGGTGGAGAAATTTTCCGAAATTAAATCCGAAAAGTTACGAAAGTTATTGGCCTTGGCATATATCACTTATTGACCCGGGTTGTAATCAGGGTCAGAAAGGTTCAACCCGGGTCACTATTTTTCGATCCCTAGCGCTAGTCTAGATTACTCGGACGGCAAATTATTTTTCAATTATACGAATTATACGACAACGAATATCTTTACATCATCTTTGGCTGGTAACGGTAATAATAGAGTAAAAATCTTCAATTTAAATGACGATCTGATTAGTTAGTTATAATTTGACATATCCTGTGCTTAACTATTATAATAAATTTTTTAAATGAGCTTAGAAGAAGTATTTTTTTTATTTAGTAAAAACAATATTACATACATAAAATGTATATCTCACAAAATTTATTTTAATACGTATATTATTTCATATACTTACAATATACATCTTTTAAAAAATAATATAAAAATTACAATATACGTGTGAATCTTCATTTTCGTAAGAAAAAAATCGAATATATTAATCATCAATGATCTCGACAGATTCAATCCTTTGGCTGATCTCTTCTTCGGAGATCCTAGAAAGATGATATTGTGAATTTACGTCTTGAGTTTTGGATTTTAACATTTCGGTTATCTTTTTGGTGTTAATCGTTTTACTCGTGTACATATCATTTGGATGAATTGGTAATTTTAATTCTTGTTTGATATTATCTGCTTCAAAAAATTGCTTCTTGATCTCATTATCATCATCATCTTGTCCTATCTCTTCAAGCCAATTTCCAATTTTGTGACAAATATTCGTTGCTGTTAGTCGTTTATTTGGATCAGGATCCATGCACCTTTTGGCCAATTTTACATAGCATTTTGGTGTTCCCTCGCTGAATCCAGGTCGCTCGCCTTTACAAATTCTCATCGAAAGTCCAATACAAAAGACTCACCATCAAACGCTCTCTTTCCTGTTGCTAACTCCGTCATAATGATACCGAAGCCATAAATATCCGCCTCTTGAGTGAATGGTTTTCCTTGTAAGACTTCTGGTGCTATATACGGCATAACACCATTGATCTCACCTTCTTGACTAATATCAGACGATACAGAAAGTCCCAAATCAGCAATGTATGCACTGCGTAAATTGGATTGCAAAATATTACCAGAATGCAAATCTCGATGAATCAATTCTTGAGAATGAATTGCTTCAAGATCAGAAGCAATACAATATAATATATTTAATCTATCTTTCCATACCAATTGAGTTGCTGTTTTGAGATTATGACGTAATGAACCTTCACTTGCATAATTCAAAACAATAATATAATCTCTAGTAGTGTCGTCTCTTGATACTCCATGACATTCTAAAAATGATGGATTATCATAACCTATATCACAATAATACTTCAATTCTTGAATGAAATTTCCTACATTTTTATTCGAATTGTGAATGTGTTTAAGTGCAACTTTCTTATAAATATTATCATTTTTGTTATACCAATACGCGTAAAATACAGTAGCAAATCCACCTTTTCCTATTTCTCTAATATTTTTGAATTCATTGTAATTAATCCATGATAATTTATATTTTTCATCGTTTAAGATCTTTTTAACACCATCATTGACTTCTTCATGCGAAATTTTATTTATTTTTTTAAGACTTCTTAATTTTCGATACCAATGATTAGCTCTTTGAATATCTCTTTGTACTCCAACTCCATTCCGATAACAACTACTAATATTACTTATTCCTGAAAAACTATTCATATTAGCAGCCTTTTTAAAACATTCAAACGCTTTACATTCATCTTTTATGACTCCTGTTCCGCCACGATAGCAAACACCAAGACTACACATACCATCAGCGTCTCCCATATCGGCCGATTTTTGATAATAAATGAAAGCCTTATGTTTATCCTTTTCAACTCCAATTCCTTTTTCATAACAATATCCAACCCCTCTTATTCCACTAGCGTGTCCCATCTCAGCAGATTTTTGATAATAAATGAATGCTTTATATCCATCCTTTTCAACTCCAATTCCATTTTGATAACAATATCCAACACTATATGTTCCAAGAGCATCACCCATCTCAGCAGATTTTTGATAATAAATGAAAGCCTTATGTTCATCCTTTTCAACTCCAATTCTTTTTTCATAACAGTATCCAGTATTATTTGCTCCAAGAGCATCACCCATCTCAGCAGATTTTTGATAATAAATAACAATATCCAACCCCTCTTGTTCCACTAGCGTCCCCCATCTCAGCAGATTTTTGATAATAAAAGAAAGCCTTATGTTCATCCTTTTCAACTCCAATTCCTTTTTCATAACAACATCCAGTATTATTTGTTCCACTAGCGTTCCCCATCTCAGCAGATTTTTGATAATAAAAGAAAGCTTTATGTTCATCCTTTTCAACTCCAATTCCAAGATGATAACAATATCCAACCCCTCTTGTTCCATTAGCGTCCCCCATCTCAGCAGATTTTTGACAATAAATGAAAGCCTTATTTATGTTCATCCTTTTCAACTCCGATGCCTTTTAGATATTTCAATCCGAGTTTGTGAAGTTCAGCGCCCGTCTGACCTATGTTAAATGTGTTATCAAAATATTTTTTTATTTATATAGTTGTGTTTACTAATTTTATTTTTTGGAGGTCTTTTTTTTTAGTTAATTTTTTTCGGTTGATGAATTTATTTATTATTAATTCGCAATTCTAGTAGAATAATTATTCCGTAAAATTATAATAAGTTTTCAATAATACGTAAATAAATCAAAAAGCTTAAATTTTAACTATTGCAGAGTATTAAATATTTGTGAATAAAATTCTAAAACTATCAGAAAGTTAATCAATTGTAATTAATATATTAATATGCAATATATAGATATTTATACGAATCCAAAATAATATTTATTGTTTTACAAAATTTTTTTTATTATCTCCATTAATCTTTACTCAATCCAGCAATCTATAATCAAAAAGACTATTATAACGATGCTTTAGAGTTAATGACAAAAATGAGCCATAGTCAACTACAGTTAAATAATACATTTAGAAGTACCAAATGTAGTACTTGTTAATAGGTTTTAAACTTTCTGAATCAAATAAAAAACCCAATACCGTACCATTCCGAAAATAAGCATTCCTGGCCCGCATTAAATCAATTTTGGCTTGCATTATTAATTTCGGAATGGTATGGTAGTTATTAAGTAATTGCAGCATATCTGATATTTTATTAACTTAGTGGAATTTTTACGTATGAAAGAATAATCTAGTAGTATTTCACAATTGAATAGTATTTTTAAATTAGTGACTTAACGTTTCATTAGGGTGCGGCCCAAACTAATTAAATCAAACATTAGTTAGGGTAATATATGAAGATCATTAATTTCGGATTTTTTATAGGCCATATATTTAAATATTATTAAATTAAATTTACATTTTTAGCACAAGTATCTGACAAAAGTATATTAAATAATTAATATTTAATATTTAAGTAATAATTGAATAATTTTAATAAACCATTGAAAAAAATAGCTCTATTACCTTGTAGAGCAAGACGAGAGCTTCAAGTTAAAAAAAAATTATATATACATTCGTTAGATACTTGTGCTAATAAATGTAAACTTAGTTTTATAATGTAATTATATAGATACGTACAGTACGTATATACATACATTCGTTAATAAAATTGATAACTGAAATTTAGCCATCAAAAAATCCGAAATTAGTGATCTTCATATATTACCCTAACTAATGTTTTATTTAATTAGTTTCATCTCACTATCTGTCATATATACTAAGATCGATAAAAACTAATTATATATATTGAATAAACCATTTTAAACCTAGAACCAATTTCAAAATAATTAAAATTTTTAATTATTCAAGAACTTGACTTTATAAAAAAAAAAAGATTAACAAGAATTATAACAATTCGTTAATGTATCTTCAGAAGCACACAAATAATTTATTATGAATCAAAATATTTCCATTTCTATTTTACTTCTGTTACATTTTTAGTTTCTCATGTCTGCTAATTTCATTTTTTGTTAGTGAACGATTTTTTTTCTATTACCGATTAAGTACAGTACATATACCATTTTGAATCAATGAAAAACGTGTGAACGTGAAATATTCATTTGTACGGAACATAATATATAGTTATTGGATGCGAAGCAGCCAATAACGGAAATTATTGTAAAGTAATTTCATTATTTGGCTGTGAAATTTAATATGTCAGCTTCTGGGGCCCGAAGG